TCCACCAATTAAGATCACAGACCCCTTGCCTGGACTGGTGGCGGCGAGAGCTGTGCAGAAACAAACGTCTGCAAACCTCAATGAACTGAAGCAATGGTGTGAAGAAGAGTCAAACAGGAAATCACCGGTGAGGTTAATGCTGATGAAGGTGGTTCTACAAGCTGCTGGATCAGGAGATGGATTTAGTTTTTTCACACAGTTTTTACGTTGTGGGTTTGATTTGGTTTATAATAAATAACGACGCAGTGGGATCTGCTGCATGTCTGTGTGCTTAAAATCTAAATCACTTTAATTATGTCATGAGAAGAAGCCACAACTTAATGTGAAAAACAGGCTGACAATTTTCTTTTTTTCACAGATAATTTGCTCCTCTTTCCCACTGCATTTTCAGAAGTGTTTTTTAAAACGACCCAATAATAAACTTATTCTTTGTTTTTGTTACACAACTTCAGCATCAACAAGCTAAATATATCAGTCCTAATTTTGAATTTCTTAGTAATAATCCAGGTTATTCCAGTGCTGATTTACTATCTCAGTTTGCACCGTAACTATTTTTTCTTTACGTTATGCGTTTCTGCCTCATTATGCAAATAAGGTGGGCAGTTCTCATTGGATCAGCTCCTATCCCATTGGTCAACAGACAGGAAGGAGCAGGAACTGTGTTTTGCCTCAGTTTAGCTTAAAGTTTAGTTTAAAAAAGGGCAAGGAGGAAAACACTTATGCCTTTATTTTACACTAAACTTTATCCTTTAAGCTAAACTGAGGCCGAACATGGACAGTAGATCTGCACATGGATCCTGTCTGTTGACCAATAGGAGAGGAGCTGACCCATCTTGTTTACATAATGAGGCAGAAATGCACAAGGTAAAGTAAAAACAGGAGACAGAGAAATGTAAAAGCAACACATGGAAATAAAAAACTTGTGGGAAATACATATATAATCATTTAAGAGACACAAATGTGTGTGAAAGTAAAAAGGAAAAACAAAAATATAAATATATTTTTAAAAACAGTAAAATTTTAATTATGTGCTAAATATATATTTTTGGAACTAAGATGGGGGAAAAGTATGAAGGTCAATTAAATTATAAAGCATGAGGTAAAGTTCTCCTTTGTTTATACATTTCTGCTTTTATTTCTAATTAGGTCAGTTTCTATACACACATTTCTTAATTTAAAATAAGTAAACCTCATTATTAAAACAGCATCTAATTGTGTCCGTCCTACATCTAGTAATTTTTCTGCCTCTCTTCATGCCACAAAACAACAAAGAAAACGTTTAATATTGTAAGAATAAAATGCGTCTTGTTCTCCAAACAACTTGATCCAAGCCGAGGCCTGTGGCCCACATGCAGGAGCTTCCCTGGGCCGGCTGCTGGCAGTGAAAACCTCTGGTCCATCTGTCAGACAGCCTGACCGGCTGCACCCTCACAGCAGCAGAGATTATCCAGGCTTAAACCAAGAAACCAGCAGCTCGTCAGAGAAAGCACCAGGAAGCCCCGTTATGACTAAGCCTGTGGCGTCTCTCGCCAGTCAAAAGTCCTTCGCTACGTTACCTACAGAATCCCGCTGCATCTGATGGAGATCATTAATAAAAAAGGAAATTGATGAAAAAGGACACCGATTTCATTGCTGCTGAGATAGTCATTCAGCTCAGTGAACGTGAGAACCGGGAGCTTTTTTTTTTCTCCTATTTGAAGCAGGGTGAATGCAGCGCCCTGGGGGATGCAGGCTATTACTTCTCAATGGGATGTTAGGCGAGAGGCAGGAGGTGGGAGGCGGAGGCAGCAGCCCATCCATGACTACTCTCAACACTGTTCTCCCGCTTCCTGCATTCACTTCCTTAACAAAGAGCCACAATGGTGTCCTTTGCTGTCTTGGCTGGCTGAGACGGCTCCTGGCGATGCTCAGAGCCATGTGTGTGTGTGTGTGTGTGTGTGTGTGTGTGTGTGTGTGTGTGTGTGTGTG